GATATGTTTTGAGTTAGTCTCATTACATTGAGAAACTATTGCTTAAATATAAACATCTTGGAATAAAGGAGACTAGTACACCTTATGATGGCCTAGGTATAGGTAATTGTTTTCCACTTTAAAATTCTTTATCTTAATAATCTTCATCTTTTTCATTTCTCACATCTTTATCTTCTAATGATGAACCCAAGACATTTGCTAAAGCCATTCGCTTCTTTAACACAGAGAAAGGCAGGTTGCTTAAGTTGTTAGCCTTCGTGTTTGCCTTATTTTCTTTTTGAAAAATGCTTTACTCTAATATCGGCTTTTCTGATCGGGTTTTTTTGGCATCGGCTGGAGACGAAGATCAGGCCCCCGATGTAGACCACATCAGATACATATCAATTTCTCTCTGTACATGCATTAAACTAGGCCAGATATTAAATTTGCAATGTGCAAACTCTTGAGATTTANTTAATGAAGTACATACTATCTTGGGCATAAAATTTAAAAGCCTAGTGGAGGATATGTTTTGAGTTAGTCTCATTACATTGAGAAACTAATAAACCTGTACAAACCATTGGAAAATAATTAATAGAGTTATTAGATATCTTAAGAATATATTTAACTTGAGATTATTTTACTATGACTATCCGACTGTACTAGAAGGATACACTGATGCAAGTGAGATTACTAGTGTAAGTGATAATAAATCCATATCAGATTGAATTTTTGTACTAGGGGGTGGAACAATTAGTTGGGCATCTAAGACACACACTTATCACATTCAACCATAAAAACTGAACTTATATCCCTAGCGGTTGCCGGCAAGGAAGCCAAATGGTTGAGAAATTTAATTTTAGATATCAAGTTATGACCTCAACCGATATTACTTATTTCCTTGCACTGTGATAGTGAAGCAACTATGTCTAGAGCAAATAACAATATATATAATGGTAAATCGGACCATATTAGTTTAAAACATGAATATGCTATACAACAAATAATGGATGGTATTGTAACCACTATCTACGTAAGGTCTAGCAATAATTTGGTAGACCCTCTAACTAAGGATTGTCAAGGGAGTTGGTGAGAGTTACATCAACTCAAATGGAACTGAAACCATTTTTTCTTAATAGTCACCGGTAATGGTAACCCAGCCTTGTTCTAGCAAAAACTAGTTCCAAAGTTTACAAGGTAAAAACAAGTTAGTGTTATGTGACTGAGAAATCACTAAAATTTATATTAAGTCCCAATTGAGATTTGGTGCTGACTGTGACAATAAATAAATGATAAGTATGTACTCTTAATGGAATTAAAATTTTCAAATATCTGTAGTAGCAAGGACAATAATGGTAAAGAAATTTCACTTATATGAATATAGAAGTGGTGCCGCTCCTAGCAAAAGTTCAGAGTTTATTCTTGTATATATTCATGAACCCAGGATTAGCACATTACCATAATTGTGTTGAGTGACATATGATGAAATCTATATGAACAGGATGTTGGTTTTGTGTATGGTACTTTCAGTTTTGTCCCATAAAGTACTTGGTTTAAAGCCAAGGCAACTAATGACTTTTATAAAACTTTGATTTACTTATACTAATTGAGGGTTTAAGTTGTACAGTCCCTTTTTTACATTCAAAATGACATATTTTAACTGAGAGATATTCACAATTATTTATTATTTGATTGAATAATTAATTTATTTTGAATAGTTCAGAGTATTAGAAAAAAATATATTATTTGAATAGTTGTGATTATTAGAAAAAGTCACTATTTGAACATATGTGACCATTAAGAAAAGACATCTATTTAGAAAGGTTGTGACTATTAAGAAAATACAACTCTTTAAAAAGGTCATAATTTTTAAGAAAAGATAGTTCTTTAGAAAGATCATGACTTTTAAGGAAAAGATACAAATTTGGAGGGTTGCGATTTTTGAGAAAAGACACCAAAAAGTCTCTAAATAAGGCTCTAGGTTTCATTCACTAATACACTAGAGTTGAATATAACTCATCTCTCTCCCCCTGTCTCTCTCTTTCTCTCTCAGACTTAAAACTGTTCAAGGAAATTTATTTAGAAGTTTTTCAATATTAAAAATTGTAGTTCTTCACTCAAAAACTTTGTTGTATCGCGGAAGTGATTTTCTTGGAACCCTAAAGTAAACTCTTCAAATGGTGGTAAATATCACTTTAAAGAAAATAATCTTCCAGTGTTTCAAAACCTTGATTTTATTATATTTTTCAATCTACTCGACACTTTTTCTCAACAACGACGTGTGGTTGACCCACATCCAGTATCATCATACTCCTGCAAAATCCAACCAAATTTCACAAGGCTGTTTGGAGACGTTGGACTAAACATGATTCCAGCTACAAAAACGTCAACAAAGCTTGGTGCAATATAGACCACATAAAAGACAAATAGACAGAACAACAACCGCGGGGAACGTGCAACCAGGGGTTAACAAAATCGTTAATGCAAATCTGATTTTGTTCAAAGGAACAATGCAACCATGGGTGGCCCAACAGTGGAAATGAAAATGTTTGGGATGTAGGCCCCATTCTTATGGAAGACCCCAAATTTTTAAATACCTTAAATAATCCAATTGAAAAAATTAAATCCTTAAATATTTTAAAGGAAAATTCTGAAGAGATATCTTTTTCAACTATCTAATTTTGAGAAAATATCTTGACTAAAATCTTTTATAAATAACTGCCCTTAACTTGAAATCTATTGTATTTAGGTACACATTAGCAGATTTTTAGATTTTTCTTTTACTAAAATACCTTTTTTCATATTTATTGGATTGTTTAAAATGGCAGTCCCATTTTTTTTTGGGATTTGATTTATTATATTAAGAGTTTTTTATTTTAATAGATCAGCATATTCGAATTTGAAATTTAAATCATATGGATTATGATTAAAATCTATACAAATTTAAATTTTAAGCGTAAATTCATATTATTATACTTCAATGGCTAGTGTAAAGTTTTCGGTTCTGATTTTCTTCTTTTACATCAACATTGTTGTTCATCGTCAATAGAAAATATTTTAACATTTGGTTTTCTTTTTCAACATCAACGTCTAAAGTTCTTCGTCTTCTTGAACGTATATTGTTTACTTCACTTGAAGTTTGGGTATATATGTTTGCTGTTAATGTAACGACTAGCCTTCTTTTGAAATCGGTAATGTATAACGTCAAGAGCCTAGTTTTGTCATTTTTTTTCCTCATGTTTACATGTATGACACGTGTATCCGTGTAATGTCACATTATAATATCGTTGTGACAGTCTACATCTTTTTCTAAACATACTCTCCTTACCATGCTTTGGTGTACAACCAAACTCATTTTTTAATGTCACATTTTGATGTCACAATGTAACTAGCATAGCATTTGGCCTAATGTATGAATCAAGAAATATAATTGCACAAATATTTGTCACAATGTGATAAAATGCAATATTGTTCGTTGCGTTGTTGCACTGCATGTAACACTGTCATTTTTTTAATAAGATTGTGTTGTTACACAGGTGAAAGATTTTTTTGTCCTCATCATTTTTTATTGTTAGTGTTTTAAGTTTGGTTGGAATCTCATAGATTTTATGATATTTTTTTTTGTGGCTGATTTTGTTTAAATATCAAAACCTATGTTTGCAGTAATATATTAGTTGCCAGATTTAATAGTTTGGTGCATGACTTCTTATTGTTTCCAAATGAGATTAGTTGCCCATGTTTTGTCTGGATTTTATGTTTGCCAAAAATTGTGATGATTTATCTATTTGGAGAGAGGATGCTCCAAATTTTTTGTGTCAATATTTCAAAATGATGTTGATCTTTTACTGTATTAGTACAAGTTCTTTGTCATTTCTTACATAAAAAAAAGATGTCCACAGGTCAAGATTCGTATAATTTTTTTTTTATCGTTTTTTGTGTTGTTTTATTTGAGGTGGTCAAAAATGAAATAAATAACTTGGAACCTATAGCTCCCCCTCACCGAACACCACCTACACCTATAATAAAAATTGGAGCCTATTCTGCATACAGATGATATTATTAATTTATAATAAAATATTAAATAAGGAAGCTAAATTTTCATTTAAACTTATTTATAATCTAAAATAAGACATACTTTAATCAACCTATCTAACGATTTTAAATAAATTCATTTATCGGCCACCAACATCTTTCTTAAATTTTTATTGTACTTTTAAACAAGGGTTACCTCATATGAAATAATAGTATGTAGTTATTTGCTTAGAGCATCTCTAAGAGATGCTGCAAAACACAAAAATAACTAAAATTTAACTAATCAAAGCAAAAAATTATATTTCAACAGAATATGTTTAAATACTCTAAAATAAATTTTTGTTCCAATGATACTCTAAATATAGAGTATCGCAGTAGCAATATGTAAAATTTATTTATAATATTTTCTCTCTCTTTCTTTCTTTTTTTCTATTATCTCTCTTTCTCCCTTTCACTATTCTCAAAAAAATAATACAAAAGGAATAAGAAATAATATTTAAAAAAAATAGTTAAAACACATAGAAAATTTGTTGAAATGTGTATTAAAAAAGTGAATAGTTAAAATAAAAAATATTATTTTTTGAATAGTTAAAATAGATTTTGTTGTTATAGATGCTCTTACATGGATAGATAATTTATTAATTTGTGTGAGATTTATTTTTTTCATTGTTTACGTATTATTGATTGATGAAATGACATCATTGTTACATTGAATATTTTATGCGAATTAAACATGTTTAGTGGTGGGATCTACTTTACCATCATCAAAACTTGAGATGAAACGAACGGTGACTAACTGCCTGTAAGCATAGTCCCTACAGAGAGCTGTGAATCTAGCTTTCCTGATCATTGTAAGATTTGAAATGTCCTAAAAATGCCCGTTGAATTACACATCACAAAGTAGAATGTTATAAATAAAATCTTAAAAAATGACCGGCAAACACACAACCGGTGTTGTTCTCTCTCCTCTCTATCTCTCTCACACACACACACACACACACACACACACGCACTCTGAGTTTTCCTCTCCCTAGATTTCTCTTTCCTTATATGCCCAGATCCTCAAATCTGTATGTAATAAATTATTGGTTTTAGTAGTTAAATCTTTTCCGTATTTTGCTCTTAAATCATAGACAAGAATTGTTCTTCTCACAAATATGTCGTGCATGTATCTATATATGTGGGAAGACACACACAAATTTTAAGATTTGGGTAGTGCAGAGGAGGCTGACAGTGAGACTTACAATGAAGCTTTTGGGTTTTTGGGGTCTAATTCTTATTGGGGTTGTGTGTAGCAAATGGGTAGATGGACTTGAATTTGATAAGTATTCTAATGAAACAGAGGTCTCAGTTTTGGAGTCAGCTTATGGAGTCTCTGCTGCCACTACCATTAGTCCTCTAATGGTAGGTCTCATCCTTATTGAAGAAGCTGCTGCTAAAGGAGCTGGTATCTCCCCATATAGATTTTCTTGCTTTATTTTATCTGTTCATGTCTTGTCATAAATTGTTGCTTGATTAATGCCTGCATTGTGTTGAAATTTCTTGCTTCTGTGTGGTAAACAATTAATTGAAATTTCCTCGTTTTCTATTTATCTATGTATTGTAGTTCTAAGATCAAAGTTGTGGGTGTATTTTGTTTAACATCTATAAAGTTTATCTTTTTTGGGTGGTTAGATTTGTTCTGTGTTGTGCAAACTATTCCACTTGTTTGGTTAACTGTTAGTCATGTGATCTGAGTTGGATGCTTATAGTTTTTTACGTGCTATTACTTACATCCATCAGTGTGCTTTCATAATCATCAGCTAATTACTTCTCTCTCTCTCTCTCTCTCTCTCTTATTGGTGAAGTTAGCCTAATTATCATTGCTTGTAATGTATTATGACTTCACAGTATGTTTGGATGGAACATCACCTGGTTACCATCTGGACCGTGGATATGGATCAGGGGCAAACAGTTGGCTCATTCAATTGGAGGTTTGTAAATTCAAATTTGCTATTTATATATTTTTCTTGTAGAAGTCCACATATTTGCATGTTTGCTTATTGGGAATGGCCTCCTGGACACGAAGTCCAACCAATCAAGTCATTTTGCAGTTTGGGAAAAAGACAACAGGGGCTTGGGGTCATCGGTCATCTAGGTTCTAACCTGTATATTACCCTCGAACCCACTGTTTTAATCCAGATATCTTGTTCACTGCACTCTGTTGTACATCACACCTCACCAAGAATCTTTTCTAACGTGCTATTTATTGTGGGTTGATAGAAAGTCAAATAGTCATAACACCAGGAGCTCCAACCTTTCCCAAAGTGTCCATTGATTTAGGGGTGGCAAGGCAGCTAGGCAAGGGCCTAAGTATCGAAAAGGCAAGGACTTGAGATAGGATCGAGAAGAGGGTTACCTAGTTAGATATTTTCTGTAAGTATGCTATAAGTAGCAATTGAGTACAATGCTCTTTCCAGTGGCAGTCGGTGAACTAGGTTTCATATGGAAGAAATACAGACTGGCTGAGATTCCTGTGCAGAAGGAGCAGGCAGAGTCCTTCGATGGGAGTTTTCAAATTTCTGGTAATGTCAATGCCCTGCAATGTTTTGCACCCCTATCCGGACGTATTTGTGGATGTTTATCACCGTGTGACAATGGTGACTGATTAAAAATTTTAATAGCTAAAAACTTGGAAAATACAAAAGACCAGGGGTGAAGCTATAGTACACGCACTCGCAAATTCTACTATGTTCCGACCATTGTTGATGCACAGAATTTTGTATTTTGAAAACATTGAAATCTTCAACATATGCTCGTTGGGGCTGTCTTTATTGGCAAAATGGACACTACCATGTCTTATTAAAACAACACTTACCAGGGAAAAGTTCTTTACTATGCACCTAAACAGTGCTCAAGAGAAATATTCTTTTGATGGCAAGAAACTTCCACCAACTTTAAAGAATTCATAAATTCTATTATGTGCCAACCATTCTTAAACAATTAATGTTTTATGGCCAAACTTTAAAGTTTCCAGCATGTTCTCCTGTGCGGTGTCTTTATTGTCAAAACAACACTTACCATGACTTGCCAAAGTAAGCAGCTCAATGACGATTTCCCGTTTCTGTGATTCTTAGTGTTATGATTTTGCATGCAGCTGAGCGGGGAGCACAGAACAAACTATTCTTCTGCCTTTTTCTATGCTATACTGTATGCTCATTGCTCAAAGCGGCATACTTCAGTTATTGAATGTTTATTGTCCAAAAAAAGAAAAAAAATTTACATGTCCAAAACTAAAAGTAAATTGTCATTTTACTTCAATGCTCTTTCTTTGATTTAGTGTTTACATTATTTCTTAGAGACCAGAGCTCACACTCTGAAAAGATGCTCCAGTTGATTAAATCACAGAGGGAAAAACAAAGACTGTCAATTTAAAAGCTTTTTGAAAGAGTAAGCGACATGTCAGGCTTAAGCAATTTGTTAAAAAGTGTTATGTAAAGTTTATTACCTGGTTGCCTTGATTTTGTCTCAGACAAATACCAATTTGGCTTGATGTACATTTAAATATCGGTTTCTGCTAAATCCATACTGTTATGTTGCTTGTGATGATTGAAGTTTTATACTCCCGGTGACAATTTATATTCTTAGATCAACACGAAAGGAAGTTTTATCCTTTTTTGATTTATCATTATCGTTCAGTATTCTGGGATGCCAATTAACGGGTACTAGACTTCATTCCACAATAATTGATGCCATCCTTGAATAAGGACCTGACATTGTGAGACATCCTCTGGCAGGGTGGTGGATGGTGTAACACCATCAGATCTTGTGTTTTCCGCAAAACGACTCGGCGTGGATCATCAACTTATATGGAAAAGCTGCTTCCATTTACAGGAATACTGAGCAATAGGGCTCAAGAAAATCCAGGTTTCGTGCCATAAGACATATCTCCAACACTTTTGCAAATATATGTCTTCATTTATCATGTTATTTTTTTTTCCCATTTTTAGCATTTCTGGATTTGTCTGTGACTGCATTTTTCTAACTCAAAGCGGGGTTTCTTTTTTGCAGATTTTTTTAACTGGAACAGAGTAAAACTTCGTTATTGTGATGGAGCCTCTTTCTCTGGGGACAGTGAAGATATGGTTGGTGGTTAAATGTAGCAGTTTTTTTCTATGCATGACTGATATGATGTGTGGCAATTTACCAAAAAAAAAATTATGTGCTATTTGGTGCTGAAAATATGTATGCAAAGAAACTGCAACTAGACCTTGCAAAATACAACCACTATTCTGAAACCCAAAATCATAGTACTTTGTAAGATATTGAGTAAATTTAGCCATTTTTGCAACCAAGTGGCGGTAAAGGTATGAGATGTAGAAGAGAGAGTTGTATGGTCTTGATTTGGTGAGGATCATACAAGTTTTTTGGGTATTTTCTGGGCTAATCTCTGTCTGCAAGAATAGACATGTAGAACAGGGTACTTAACTCACCAACCTTACATCACATCTGGTAATGGTGCAGATTTGAATGATACTGGATCCGCTCTCACCTTTGCGCATACAAGTTGTTCAATTTTACCAAGCTTTTCAAATTTCTTTTTTCTGTAATAGTATGGGGGTCGGGCGAGTGATTATCATAGTGTTTTTTCATTATGGAAATTGTTCCGAGCTTTTACTCCATTTTCACACGTCTCTTAATGAAATTGTTTAAAGTTTTTCCATGATTTCACATCTTCCCAAGCATTAATATTAAATTTTGCTCTATTTCACCACTGCTATTAATTTCTGTAATTTGGAGATGATTCTTCAGAATGGAGCCTTGGAATGATTCTTAAAATAGTCAGGTTCTGTCGAAGTTAGTTACAATTTGAGTAATACAAAATAGTTGTAATGTGGTTGGAGGCAGTCAAATGCCCAGGTTCAATGTTTGGATCGAATTCAACCTTTGAAATCCCTGCATTGGAGAGACCTACACTGGACAATCGCCTTAGTGCTTTTGCCTGTGGGAATTGTGGATGCGAAATTTAGGCCTACAATCGTGTTGGCAGTTGTGGGGCACTTGGGCTTACTTTTCTAAAGCCCATGCACAAGGTTCCCCTTATCTGTATGGACTGCGAATTGTCCTAACAATTAGATCTGCTGTTTGGACCATTTTGCTTATAAATTTTCTCCAACGCATTTCTCATGGAAAGAGGAAAATCTTCATGCGTTCAAAGTTACTAAAGCCATGTTAATATGAATCTTCTGATCATCTTTGTTTTTGGTCACTTGTTAGTTGTTATATTGAGTTACTCTCAGTACCACATTCCTATCTTGTGGTCTGTGTCTCATTTGCAAGCTATATTTGTGCAGTGTATCATGCATATGAAGCATGTCTTGATGACTGATTTCATACAAAGCTACATGCATTTACACCGTCTGCCAATATTTTGGAAAGCTTTTAGGTTTTTGGTCATAATCTTTTGACAAATAAACTTCCCTGACCTTAACCCTTTTCTATATTCAAGTGTGTTGTTCATCAGATATAAACAATATTGTGCAAATTATGCCAGTTGTGTAGGAAATAGGGGAATGATTTATGCATATCTATTTCTTCTCACTTTGAGACTTCAAGTGATGTTACCCATTTCTATTGCTTGGTTTGATGAACATGACCTGGCTTGTAGTTGTACCAAGTCAAATCAAGTGTCTGATTAATTGTTCATGCAGATTAACTGTTCTAAAATGTGGTTGATTGTCTCCTTAGGCTGCGCAGCTGCAATTTAGAGGACAAGGTATATGGTTAGCTGGTATGGAAGATTTAATGTCAAAAGGGATGCGCTACGCGGACCAGGTATGATTTTATCATACCATTCACTTCCTCCCCCCCCCCCCCCCCCCTAATTTTTTTTTTTCGATTTTATTGTGAAAATATCAATCATGTTTCAGGCTCTTCTTTCTGGGTGCTCTGCTGGGGGGCTAGCTTCTATATTACACTGTGATGAGTTCCGGGATTTATTTCCAACCAGTACAAAAGTGAAGTGCCTGAGTGATGCTGGATTATTTATGGACGCGTACTTGCCAAATCTTCCCCATGCTCTAATTAATCTATAGAACTCTTATTTCTATATGCTCCTTACTTTAGATATTTGTATTTAATGTTTTTGTGGTGGTCCTTTCTGGATATGTAGGGTTGATGTATCTGGTAATCACAGCCTTAGGAATTTATACAGAGGTGTGGTTAGCTTGCAGGTACTTACAAAATCTAATTTGTTGGTTCTTCTTTTATATATAATAGAGGGTCTACCATCTACTGCAAGTTATTTAATTATCATGGTCTTGGAAGTAATCTTCTACAATCTAATGTACTGATTCACATTCAACTCTAAATTTAATGAAACTAGGTGATAATTGATTGATGAATTTTCATTCAATGTAGGAGAAGTTTAAGCAATGCATATGATCCTAGAGAGGAGATACAGAACTTGATATTTTCATGGGTCACATCATCTACAAAATATTACCCGTTCTGTTAGCAGCAATTTTACCAGTCATATTAATCACTATATAGTTTGGATGGCTGCATGCTAGAGAGGTTTTGTTGAATATATTTCAACTAGAACTCGGAGGTTCGTGGGCCTCATTTGTTCAAGTGAGTGAAATTCAGTTTCTGGTTATGAATAACCAAACAAATGAGTAGACATCTTTGTGCTATGACAACCAAGGAAATCATATGAAATTGGCAACATAAATACAAATTAAAAAAGGAGGAAAGAATGGATAACTTGTTGGAGTGCTTTATGCTCAAGGTTGTAATACAACCTTAAGCTGGGCTATGATTTTAAACTTTGGAATTTGAGAAGCATGATGCATGCCTGAGCCATTGAAAAGTCATTTTCTCTATGCTTATCAAGTAAATTTTAGGTTTTCTAGGCTCCGGAATGTTTGATCTCTAAGCCTCATATTTCACTTTCTTTTCTCGATTTCTCATGGAAATTTTGTCTGATTTCAACAGGGGGTGCAGAAGAACCTGCCACGCTCTTGTACTGATCAACTTGATCCAACTTCGGTGAGACCTTCTGTGTTGATTTATCTCCTGAACTGCAGGATCTTGAAGCCATAGGCAACACACAATATTCTGTTGTTTTGATTGCTGTCAGGCCTGATTTGATTTTGTGTAGCTTTCTTCTTTTTCAGTGCTTCTTTCCCCAGAACTCAATTGCAAACATCAAAACTCCTCTATTTCTTCTTAATGCCGCATATGATGCATGGCAGGTAATATCTCACTCCTATAGATTGCTACATTTACAAGTTGGCAATTGCTGCAGTATGATGGTGGCTAAATTGCGTGAATGACAAAAATAGTCAGAAGTCTCTATCTTTCCACTTATATTCAGATCCAAGAGAGCTTAGCTCCTCCATCAGCTGATCTTAACGGTTCCTGGACTGACTGTAGAATGAACCATGCGAGTTGTTCAGCCTCGCAAATCCAATTTCTGCAAGGTTTTTTTTTTTTTTTTTTTTTTTTCCGTAAACCAAAAATAGCTTAAGCTTGATTTCTTATTTGCTCTAATAATTTTATAGAGTTACTTAACATGTTTTGTTGCTTCTTTGGAGCAGAGTTCAGGAATCAAATGTTGAATGCGATAAAAACCTTCTCAATGTCCAAACAAAATGGGTTCTTCATAAATTCATGTTTTGCTCACTGCCAGTCAGAGTTGCAGGATACATGGTTTTCAGATAATTCTCCACTTATTGGCAACAAGGTACGCCGGTGCTGTTGATTATGTTCTGTTTTTATGAAGTTCAAATTATTTTCTTGTATGTTTGCAAACCAGCATAACTCCTCTTACCACCTCGACCAATGTTTCTTGTTTTTGTGCCTTTAATAAATCTCTCATCCTTACTTTGCCAGTCAATTGCATTTGTTGCACATGACGAAATCACTAGAGACTGATAGAATTGATCAATGAGAATAGAGAAGACAAAGAGAGAATATATTATTCATAAAACAAGTCTGCAATACAGCACATAAGCTTAGCAATACACAAAGTAAGTCTTATTTAGTTGGGCAACACAACATAAAAAAAAAGCCTAAACTACCCTTAGTATTAATACTCTAACACCCCCTCTCAAACTCATAATGTGGTAGAAAATATCAAGAGTTTGGCAAGAAGAAATCTAAAACGTGCTATGGTATGAGACTTCGTAAAAAAATCTGTTATCTGCATTGTGGAAGGAAGAAATGGTGCCCTGCTGCAGATGATGACGTACAAAGTGACAATCAATTTCAATGTGTTTTGTGCACCCATGAAAGATTGAGTTATGAGCAATCTGAACAGCACCGGTGTTGTCGCAAAACATGGGAGTAGGAGATGATACCGAAATGCCAAGATCAGCAAGGAGTTATCGTAACCAGACTATCCCAGCTATAGTAGATGTCATAGCACGATACTTAGCTTTAGCAGAAGAACAAGCAACAATAGCTTTTCTAGGAAATAAGAGAATCCCCAAGAAACAGGCAAAAACCAATAGTAGACTTGTGATCCATAGAGTCATCAGCCCAATTAGCATTAGAGTAAGCCTTGAGTTCCATAGATGAAGAGTGAGGAAATAGTAAACTTTGATGTAAAGTACCACAGAGATATCAAAGAATGCGAAGAAAAGAAGCCCAGTGAACGGTGGTGGGTGAGGTAACAAATTGACTCACAATGTGAACAGCATAAGAGATATCCAGACGAGTGACTGTAAGATATACTAAACTCCCAACAATAGTCCGATAGAGGGTTGGATCAGATAAGGGAGTACCGTCAAATGAAGAGTAAAGAACATTGAGCTTTAAAGGTGTGTCAACTGTCCGATTATCTGATAAACGAGCTCGTTGAATAACATTTGAAGCATACTTGAACTGAGAAAGAAGATATCCTTTAGGAGAGGAAGCAATCTTAATACCCAAAAATTATCTAAGCTGCGTCAAATCTTTCATCTCAAAATGGTCCTGTAATTGGATTTTCAATAAGCATATGCCAGCAATGTCATCACCTGTAATAATCTATCATCAACATATAGTAAAAATAATAGAACTTGAGAAAGCAGACCGTAAAAAGAGAGCAGAATTATGGTTACTGGTGCAAAAATCCAAGTCACAGATAACTAAAGAAAATTTGGCAAACCATGCCCTGGGAGCCTGTTTGAAACCATATAAGGCACGATAGAGTTGACATACTTGACCAAAACTATAAGATAATCTAGGGGGAGGTGTTATAAAAACCTCTTCAGTTAAATTTTCATGTAAAAATGCATTTTTTACATCCATTTGAGATAAACTCTATTATCGAATGACAGCAACTGCAATCACGGTGCGAACAGTAGTCATCTTGGCAACAAGAGCAAAAGTCTCATCATAATCTAGACTATATTCCTGGGCAAACTCCTTGGCTACTAATCGAGCTTTATATCGTTCCATAGAACCATCTGACTTGGTTTTTATTTTATAAACTCACTTACAACCAATGATGCATTTACCAGACGGTAAAGACACTAACTTCCAAGCTCTGGTCTTATGTAAGACAGACAACTCCTAATCCATAGCCTGTTCCAAAGTGGATTAAGTAAAGCCTCCTTGTAGGAGGTGAGTTTAGATAGAGAATGAATAAAAGTAAGAAAAGAACAAAAGTCAGAAGAATAACAAGTATTACTCCAACCAAAACTGTTTGGACATTTGCGAGAGCGCTAAGGATAGCGTGGGGGTATGATCCACAGTGTCTGAATCTGATTGGGCGAGGATAGCGAGGAGAAAGTGGAGGCATTGCATCCGGAGAGGAGATAACTGGAGTCCTGCGAACATATGTATGCACAGTATGAGGACGAGTAATAATCGACTCAGAAGATGAAGGATCTGACACAGGTATATCACTAACATATGTGTCATGAGGAACATTAGTAGGAAAGAGATCAATGTATAACAGGTCAGACTTATTCCATGAGGAAGAACTAAATGGAATTGAAAAAAAAGGAATATGCTCCATAAAAACAACATGACGATGGGATCATAGCAATGACACCTTTTTGACCCTCACCATAACCAAAAAATACACATAAAGCTGAACAGACAGAAAGTGTGGTGCGAAGAACACTAGGGAGCAAAACAAAGCAGGTACAACCAAACACACGTAAAGAAAAATAGTTAAGCGGCTTACTGCATAACTTTTCAAATGGAGAGACTCTAGAGATGAGAATAGTAGGAATAGAGTTGATCAAATGAACTGTTGTCAAAACTGCTTCTCTCCCTAAAATGAGCTGGGAACATGTGCTGATAAAAGAAGAGAACGTGCTGTCTCTAGAATATGACGGTGTTTTCGTTCGGCAACACCATTCTGCTCAGGTGTGTCAGTGCAATAGGATTGATAAAGTGTATCATCAGATTTCAATAAATCATGAAAAGAAATAAGAGTATATACACCTCCCTGATTACACCGAAAACATTTAATGACTGCGAAATATTGAGTGCATATCATGTTACGAAATGTAGTGAAGATGGAAAAGAATTCAGACCGACGTTTTGTCAAGGTTACCCAACAATACCTCGTGTAATCATCAATAAATAAAACATAATATTTGGACCTTCTTTGTGTAGGAATAGGAGCCGGTCACCATATATCCGAGTGAACAAGATCAAATAGTGCAAGAGAACAAGTAACACTTTTATTCACTACAATTAGAAATGTCATGGCTTGCTAAATTACCCAAACTATAGGTCGAAGCTAAAAAATTTAAACGAGAATAAGAAACATGACCAAGACGAGAATTTCACAAATAAAAACTAGATGACTTTGGATTCAAACGAAATGAAGATAAATCAACAGTAGTAGCAGTAGCATCAGCGTCTGGGACATGAAGCTGTTCCAATACATATAACACGCCCTTTCTACAGCCTGTCCTAATCAGCTTCTTGGACTATGGATCTTGCACAACACAACCAGAGGAAGAGAAATGAACCAAAAATTCAGAATCAAATAGTTGATTGACTGAAAGTAAATTCAAAGTAAGTTGAGAAATATAATAGACATTTGAAAGGGTAAGGGTTGGAAGAAATAATTGTCCCAACACTAGCTAATGACATTTGAGAACCATTGGCAGTAAGGACAGATAAAGATGGAGGAGAAACAATAGATGCAAACAAAGAAGAGTCATTGGTTATATGATGTGTGGCACCTGAATCAAAAACCCAGGCGGTTCAAGGTATACCTAAAGGACCTGAGCTGAACGAACCTATAGTGGAAGAAACTGTGAGAGCACCAAACTAATGAAGAGAGAGAAACTTCTGTAGCTGATTTGCAAGCATAGTCAGGTTGGGAGCTGAAGAGGCTGACTCATTTACTGGTGCTGCTACGGCCGTTATATGACGATCTCTGGACTTAAATGATTGATTTTGAGACCTTCGTGCATTCTTGTTCATCAACTTTGGACATTGAGTCTTCTAGTGACCCTTTTCACGACAGAAGCTACACTCATCAGAAGCAACTCGACCTCGATATTTGTTTTGGGAAGTAGAGATCATTTTGGAAGAAACAACCAATACAACCTGATTTGGCAGTGGAAGAAGACCCTTTCTAGAAAGGGTTTTAAGGCGAACTTCTTCAACTAAGAGCTCATTAACAACTGTATCCACCGAGGGAGTGGGCGACGATGAAGAATGGAACCACGAAATCCCTCGAAGTCATCTTTAAGGGCCATCAAGAATTGCACCAGCCTTTGTTCCTCTCTGAAGGTGTGATATGTCAGATTAGTGCTTAACTCATTGGGTTCAGTAAGTGCTAGCTAATCCCAAAAGCCAGTCATAATTGAGTAGAATTTTTGTATGGTTTTATCCCCTTGACGCGCATCTCGAATCTCATGCTCTAGCTGATACCTCTTTGTAAAATTAGACTGGACAAAAAGTGTAGCCAAATAATTCCAAATTTTTTTAGCTGTGCTAAACTTGGATAGATAAACCTCAATGGTCTGATCAACTGAGTTATTAATCTAGGTGATAATTTTTGCATTGTTGATATCCCAAGTACTCTTCAAATCAGCATAATTTTCAGCCTTGTATCAGTTGGAGCCTGTACAACACCACTAACATAATTTCACATGTCTTTCTCCAATAAGAAATTTTTCATAACATAAGTCCAATAAACATAATTTCTACCTATTAATCTCACACTAATAGCTTGAAGTGAATCAGAGTTTCCACTTGTCATTGTAGTAACAATTATCAATAGATATCACAGTCAAAACCCAACAGCCACCAATTAGAAAATTACTCCAAATAACAATCAACAGATTCAACACCAAAGCAGTAACAGTGAACAAGAAGACTAACAACTGCCGACTGCCACAAAACTATACTGCCGAAGACACAAGGAGATTATCCAAAAATCAGCTGAAGATCAAAGCAACCCACAAGCTTAGCAATAGCATCACAGAACAAGACCACCCACAACACCGACGTTGGGAACCAGTGTCGCTAGAAAGAAGTTGCGACAGGAACACCGAATTCCTCGGATGGCCAAAATCAAGCCAAAAAATTCCTCAAAGGTTTTGAGTCTCTCAAGAGGGGACCATGGAAGCTTAGTCGTACTTCTTAGAGAAGATTTGAACCAAAAATTGCAGCAAAAAGCCCTTGTTTTTATAGATTAAAAAAATTCAAAAATTTGGGCCGAAAATATTCAAAAAATAGAAACACCTACGAGATGTGCTCAAAATCAAAAAAAAATCATACCAGCAGAAAGTCCATGAAATT